TGTTTCTTTTGTATTTCAGCAGAAACTGTCTATGTAACAGAAAAAAATGATACAGAGGCAACTGAACATTAAAATTGTCTCCACTGATTGATGGCTGGAATTTTAAAATGAGACAACAATGTTAAAATGATTACTTTAAAACAGCTGTGCACTGAGTCATAAGAAACTACTACAACAGTTTCTCTTCTCAACTCTTTTTTTTTCTCATATGCAGGTGAATTTATATATTATCTGATTATCTGATTGAACATGATGGATATGGGTAACAAATCTGAAGCTACAAAAAACATTTATGTATTCTAGCAGACCAGCAGACAGACATCCAAGCAGTGTAACAGTATCCATACTGAGGACTTTATCTCCATTCTCCACTGTGATCATATTGGTCTTTTGGGCCTAAGTATCTTCTCTGCTGAAGCATAACGGCCAAAACAGCAGTTCCCTGTCGGATTAGGACATCACTGTCAGACGGCCCCAGCTACACTCTGACAGACCTATTAGCAGGACGCATGTCATTGTGAGGCTTTGCAGAGACGACAGGATGTAAAATCGAGGGGTGTGTCTTGCTGCATTTCTTTGGTGCTTTTCAGAGTATAGATAGGATGAATAAAACATCAAAACATGACACCATCAAATAATAATAATAAAAGTTGTAGTAGTAGCAGTAAACTTTTGGTATGAGTATTTTCTTTACAGATTTTGTATTTCTGAGAAGAAAATGTTCTCTCTTGTTTGTTTGGTTGCATAGCTTTACACATTGTTAGATCACTGTGGATGCAGTTATCCGCTACAGCACCTGTGTGTGTCACTGCTCAGTTCAAGTGTCAAAGCTTTTAAAGTATCATTGAAATTCCTGTTGAATTTAACACATTCACTGCTGTTGCTTTCATAAACACAAAGTGTAAAGATGGCCATGATGAGATATAAACAATTGCTGCAATGTTATTTAGTTGTAATCATTGGCTGAGCTGCCTCAAAGGCAGTCTGGCTTGGTGGGAGTTTGCTTGTCATTCTGCGTTGGTGGTGGCTGGTAGCCAAAGGTTGATTCAAAATTTAGAATTGCTGTCAGCAATCTTTGATCATTTGGCGGAGAAACGATTTATATTTTTTTCAGAGGCAGTTCTTATGTGTCCCTTCATTTTAGCATGTGCAGCTCTCCAATACTTAGTCAAATCCCCAAGAGCAACTCCCCATTGGGCATTAAACTTTTCTTTTAAGTAAACTGAACTCAATTAAGATGTCAGAACAGAGTGTGTGTGGCACTGTTGAAAAAGAGACTTTATTGCAAAAAAACTCCAAAGACATGCCGCTAATTGCTCTGGAAATAATTAGCAACATACAAGGGTGGAAAGTCTGCTGCTTATCTACCACCCCTCCCTGTTCACCTTCTGATGGTCTGAATAACTCTCTAGATTTGTTGCTATTTTGAAATAAAGTTGCTGACGGTCTGAAAGAGGTAGGCAGCGTACCAAACCACTGTGAGGCATATTGGGGAGCATATTATGATGCCATAAATTAGGATTCTTTATTTATTCTCACTGCTTACTCCATGCTCACCCACACGTTTACCTTAGCTTTCCTTCAAGCCAATTTAAAGTGCAAAACATTTTGTGAATTAACTGATCATTCGTGAGATGCTAACTGGTTAGACGGCTTTCATCAGCTATTTGCTGTTTAAAATCAGATTAATTTGGAGTACAATGTAAACAAATATATTTTAATAATGTTTGATTTTACTTTAATCAACAGCTCCCAATTACTCAACCACTCGAAAACACACAAATACTGGCAAAAAGGCAGCCATATAAATTCTATATATTCTATTTCCAGTAAATACTATTCTGAAAAGTTTATTCAGCTCTGTCAGACATCAGTATGGCAGTGCACACAGCAGCAGGGGACTGTGGTCGAGTGCAGAGGAAGCCAGAGTTCCTCCTCGTCACAGTGAGGGGAGACTGTTACTGTGTGGATTCTGCGATTTCCCCTAACTCCTGCTCTCTGCAGACAGCTGATGTTTATCTGCTCTGCCCATCTGGGCCTTGTGACTAAACATCTGGTAAAGCTGCCACTGTTCATACAGTGTTTCACAGAGTGATGACAGTGAAAGGACACTGCTGTCCACCCCTTCCAAAAAGATCTCCAGAGGTAGTGAGGAGTTCATCTCTGAGATGTCAAGGCTTATTCTTAAAACCTGACTCAGTTACCAGAGTACTGTCCAGCACTTGGTGCTCTGTAATTATCACGAGTGTGGCTTTATTAGTTTGTAATCACAATGATGAACGATAAGCTGGTTTGAAATAAGAATCAAATTCCTTGCCTTTAGCTACTCTCCTTAATTTTCAGGCTTAGATTATGATCTCATTGAAAATGTCATAGAACATTATTACCAGTGCCCACAAAGAGAAATGCAATCATCAAATTAAAAAGCTATTTTGGGGCCACCCATGCTGCAAATCTTTTCAAAGTAAAGCACAGAGTACTCGGTAGAATCATAATGGTCCACACAACAAAGACCATTTTCCTTCTACATGATTCTTTTGTAACAATTATCTGCCATTAATGGTTAAAAAGCAGGTGTTACTCCATCATCATTACCCAGCATGTGCAACAGTTTCCCTTGCTACCTGTTTGTCTGTTTTCAAATCCTTTACAAAAGGCCATGCCAGCGTATAGCAACCCTTTCCTCTTCCTCCTCTTCTCGGCTTTCCCCTAGAATGAGACGTTTTGCAGCGACTGGTAGGGCTTCATCCATTATGGATGCTGTGTTTTAGGGGGATGATCTGTGCAGGATGATATAAATATCTCCTTTTGGTTCCCAGCAGGATGGGAGAAGCAGCACAAGACAGGCCACTGTGTAGTGTTGGAGCAGGGCATCTTTATTATTTGATTTGATGTACAAAGTAAAAGACAGTAAGAAAGCAAAGATGCCCACGTGACTAGCACACAGCAAAGCTGTCTTTAATTCATGAGTCGTGGCAACTCTCTTGATACCTCCACTTTAATAAGATAGTTCTACAAAAATGTACTCAAAACTAGGGCTGAATGATTTGGGAAAATAACTGTGATTTAATATGCGAATAATTTTTGGACGAGCAGTAAATCAGTGTATAGTATGACACACAATATTAGATAGATTAAACATACACTGTTCTTTCTTGTAGGCCAGGCCTGTGTTATGATGAAATTAGGTGATGCATGAATTGCATGAATTATTATTATCAGCAATGGTGGAGAAGAAATATCATTTTATAATACTTATAATAATATGAGAAAGATAATTTGAGAGTCAAGTCATGGCATTAAATAATATGATATTATATCATCAGTGAGGCCTACCTACAGACCACAAGAAAAACAAAGTTCACCAAAGTGTATTATACAGTAAGCGCTCAATACAAAACTCACAGTTCTCAAAAACCTCAAAAAATACTCAGCTGGAGGTTCAATTCAAAAGTTGGTCAACGAAAATAAAACCAAGTGACGCCTCTCGTGTTTAATAGACAAGCTTAGTAATTCTCAGACAACACTGGAGTCCCCCATCCCTGCAGCCTCCGATGCTGGTAAGCAGTGCACTGGCTGTAGCTCGGGACAGACTGGGCCTCTTTTGGACTTGTGAGCTTGGTTTGAAACGCCGTTTCACAGATATTTCGTGAGCTGACTGGTGGCTGTGTGTGTGACGCAGGTGCCGATCTCCACAATACGCTTACCTTACTACACGTGTCTTTTTGTTGTGCATTTTTTCCTGTCTGTCAAAGCAGCTGATGGCCCGACGATTTCAACCACCAACAGCACCAGTTTACCCGCAGGTGGCGGGTGCTACTTTTATTCCCTGTGTGACACTAACGTTTCTGTAGTGTCAGCTTCTGTCAAGCTTAAGGCCATTGTTCATCAACAGGTAAAGGTACAGCGTAACGTGTGAAGTTGATACTTTCTCTGCAGACTGGTTTACTCCATAGACTGTACATAAAAAGGTTTACTCTTGCATGTCCAGAGTGTAATTGCAGCCTTTGCGATTAGAAAATCTTGCAATGCAATTAATCGTTCAACCCTACTATTAATCGTTCAACCCTACTGATGGGTTTGACCGCTGTTGCAATGTATGACAGCTTTCTGATCCTTAGCAAGTTTTTGCCCTTTGTGTCCTCTGCTACAGGCTGCACCACAGCAGGTGGCTGTGTGTTAGCATACAAATGTACCATGAACTGAAGCCTAACAGATAAGTGTGTGATGGTCAGTTGGGAGGGGGGGGGGGAAGATCCACCGCTCTATTACTCTGGTACTGTGGAGGAAGCCAGCCTACTGTTAAGACAACGAGCACACACACACACACACACACACACACACACACACACACACACACAGAGTACCCAGTACCACTATTGATACAAGAGACAACGAAAGATCAGATGTGCAAAGAGCAGTTCTGTTCATAACTCGAGGAATATTGTTTCCCTGATTATCAGAATCCTATGCTCTTAATTTAGCACTATATTTCATAACCTTTTGGTAAAACACTCTGGAGAGGATCTACATGAGCAGAACAGTGTGCGGTTATGAAGTCTATGGAGCAGTGCCAAGCAGCAGCAAATCATTTATGCTCAAGGCACATAGAAATAATTCATTGCACTGCTCTGAAAGCAGTTGAGGCATGGATGCAACACAGAACAGATTTCCTGTGTGGAGTGCTGGGTCCAGGTATTATTTCTGCTTGAATTTTAGGGGAAAAAAACTCTGATTCTCCAGTGCAAATATGCTGAGGAGTTCTGAATATGATTCAGCCAGTTAAAATATAGAGAGCATGACATCCACTGATTTAAGGGGGGCTCTGTGGGAGATTCCACAATAAAGAAAAAAACAACTGTGTTGTAGACTAATAAAAGACAAACCCCCTGCATAAATTATCGATTATTGATTGATTGCACTTTCATTTCCCTTTTTCGTAGAAAATACAGAGTTGCTCTTTCTGTTGTTTCCTTAACACCTCTCCTCTCCTTTTGCAGGAGCCTGCTGTGGAACCCACTGGTTCCTCTCGTCACTTTCTGCCTGCTTGAAGGACCAAGAGGAGAACTATATGCACCAGAGTGATTCTGAGGAAGCATAGAAGAGAAACTTCCCTCCTTTGTTCTTGCCTTATGAGAACACTCTCTGTGGACTCCCATCGCAGCTCACCCTGTGCTGTTTAGAAGGTGCATGTAGTCACCGCTCTCAGGTGCAGGAAAAGAGGGAAACACAAAGAGGAAAGAAGAAAGAGTGGAAGATAAAGAGAGTGAGGCTGCATAATTAGTATTACAAAGTTTGTGTCATACATAGAAACCATGAGAAGAGGCTTCTGAAGACGCTCTGAAAAATATTGCGGCTTACCATCAGGACATTTATGTGTGTGAGTGGGTATATGTGTGTACATCTTTTTCATTTTCAAAGGACTTGAATTTGTATTTGGATGCTGATTTAGCCTTTCATTATGACTCCACGAGGAGGCTTTGAGAGAGCGTGGATTGGCTGCCACCGAGGTGTCTGCTGCTGGGTGTTGTTGCTGGCTTGTTATTTCCTGATCGCCTCGGCAGCCAAACCCAAAATGCCAGGCCACACACACCTCAATTCGATCCGCATTGATGGGGACATTTCTCTGGGTGGGCTGTTCCCAGTGCACGCTAGGGGCAACGATGGCAAAGCCTGTGGGGAGCTGAAGAAGGAGAAAGGGATCCATAGGTTAGAGGCCATGTTATTTGCCCTGGATCGTATCAATAATGACAATGAGCTGCTGCCTAATATCACTCTAGGGGCACGTATCCTGGACACCTGCTCCCGGGACACCCATGCTCTGGAACAGTCACTGACATTTGTTCAGGCACTGATTGAGAAAGACTCAAGTGATGTCAAGTGTCTCAGCGGAGGCCCGCCCATCATCACTAAGCCTGAGAGAGTGGTGGGAGTGATCGGTGCATCTGCCAGCTCGGTGTCAATCATGGTAGCCAACATTTTACGGCTCTTCAAGGTCAGTTTCTCCAACAGCATCTACTTCTTTGTTTTCCTCTTTAGTATCTTTGTGCTCATGGTTGCAGAGCATGGTTATATTATAGAATTCCCTACAGCACACTTCATACTACGTATGTTTTAGAGATCAGACTTTCAGATGAAAACATGATAGACAAAAGGTTCCACAATGACAAAGACAAGCCAAAGACAAATGATTCCAATTCTAATCTTACATCGTATCAATATTACCACACTGTAAACAATTTAATGGAATAAACATGACATAAACAGACATACCAACTAGGGAAGAAATGGTATGAAAATTTCATATCACGATTATAGTGACCATAATTATCACAGTTATCAATATTATCACGGTATTGTAAAAATGTGCCAAAAAATATTAAAATGTACTGATACACACACTGAAACCATTTCAACAAGTTTTATATTGAAAAACAATTAGCCCCAAAACTGACATAAATACAGAGGAGTCTGTAGCATTTCTAGGTTGGTTGACTAAACTGCTTAACGTGTTATCATGTGCAGTGGACGAATAGACTCTACCGACACACGAATAGACTCTACCGACACACGAATAGACTCTACCGACACACAGCAACAGAACAACATGTAGTGTTTTTACAAGACCAGCAACACTGTGAGCTTCAGTTTACACGCTGTTAGCAAGTCAGAGAGACAAAACAAAGCTAAAAGCTAACTCACCCTGCGTTCACTATAAGGTTATTTTCTTCAATCAAGTTTCCCTCAGCACTCTCATAAAAACTAAAATATGACCGCACTTCAGAGTGACTGAAAAATATCTGTCTTCCACCGTGCTGTCGTTGACCCAAACAAACCCACGTTGCATTCTGCGCATGCGCGCCTGCTTCTGGGAGACGCTGGACAGTGTTTACTGTGAGATTGTAACAGCACGGTTAACCGCACCCGGTTATCATGGTAATTAAAATGTGTACGGTAATAATAACCGTCAGGAATTTTACCATGGTTTACCGTTAAACCGGTAATTGTTTCATCCCTAATACCAACACATACACTCAGTTTCAAGGGACACTTCCCACTCCGTGTTCTTTTTGCGTTTCTTTTGGCCTTTTTATTTTCCTCAGAAGCTTAAATCACTTTAGTTTCAGAAATTTTCCCCACTGTCCAGAAATCTGTGTGTTGATCATTACACCATAGTTCTCCTCACTATTGACACTATTTTTCCAAGAATCCTTAGTGTTGCCTCCTAATTAATTCAAGGGGATGCCATGCGTGGCACCATGGGCTCATTGCACTGCCATTCAAAATAGTGCATAAAACGAGCTTGTGCATAGTGTTGGCTCACCAGATGCAAAAATAATGTGCAAATGAGAGCAAAACATAAACAACATATGACAGGGCTTTTATAATACATGTTCAGTGCTGTCAAACCAAACTACAGGCCACAACCAAACTAATGAGCAGAAGGACTGTGTCAAAACAGGCAGTAATTCTTCATAACAACCCAATATTCATGCCAGACTGGCTGGTTATGTATTGTAACCCTTGCTCTATGAACACAAGTGAGGCCCTTGCATGGGCTCTTTAGGCTTGTTTTTATGAATCAACTGACCGCTTTTAGTGACTAGTGAAGTAGCAGATGATACATATATATCTTCCATTGGTGTTCCAGTAGCAAGAAATACAATATTTAGCTATGTTCTATTCATGCAGACTTGCTCTTTTAAAAGGGCCCTATAGAAGATGAGGCCTGAATCACCTGCTGTGACATTGATTCTACATTGTCTCACCTGTCTGCAGCTGTTCTGGGACTGACTAGCTGCTCAGCAGAGGGCAAGAGGGTGAACAGTGTAATACGCTACGTCACAAGAGTGATTGACATGTCACAAGTCAGCCAGAATAAATGCATCCTTACTGCTTCTTCAGAAAGTGGTGGAAGAACTACCTTGCACAGGGCTGACATCGGCAGCCATCACAAGCCCTAGTCCTCTACATTCACAAGTACAGACCTTTCACACAACTTTCACCCTCAGGGGAATGCACATTCTTATTATCCTCAGCACTGTAGAAGCAAGCAGTAGTCTGCCTACATACATAGGGTGGCCAATAAAATGTCCTAGCACTCTGTCACATGCCAACATCTTGGCAGGACTTTGTTTAGATGTCTCCACAGCAGTGGAAACATCTCCCATAGTGTAGTGTCCTCCCCCAAATGTTTTCCCCATAAGGAAACTCCTTCAGTTCCCTGTAGCACTTGGCCTCTTAGTGCCACTGTAACACTACATAACTCCACATAAGAAACAAAGACAAAGAAAACATATTACATTCAATTTAAAACACACACATTAAAGGATAAACATTTATGTTAAGATAATGAAAACAAATTCAACAAACTTAAACCCTCAAATTCAAGAGAAGATCTTACCATCTACTCTAATGAGCCTTGGTGAGGCCTCATCATGTGGACATGTGGTTCCACAGGTCAAGCTTGCTACTTTCACTTAGGTTATGTTAAAAATTTTTACATAGTCACATGATTTTACTAAATAGTTAAAGCTTATAACCAGATGTTCTCTGCCGAGAACCTTTAACTCTCTGCTTTCACAGGCAAGAAACTCTTGGCAACAATTTAGGAATTTGTTCAGACAATTGGACAAGCTAGGTCATGAAAGTCAACGTGACCTAGTGTTTTCTGGATTTTGTTGTTGATCTAGCCTGTTTTTTGCCCAACAGCTGTTCTTTGCCTCTCTCTCTCTCTCGAGTTTAACTCTGATAATTACTTGCTGGAAGTGAAGTTGCAGATTAACTGCAATTCACTTCTGGGAACCGGAGAAAAACATTATTCCCACTATATTTTATTTCCAGATGTTAAATGGTGTTTTGTGACTTTGATCATTTAATAATTAATCTTATCTGGTTTTATTGTTTACAGTTATTTTCAATAAATGTAGCATAGGGCATTCCTCCACATCATCAATAACAAACACTCCACAATCAGCCTTTCTGCTCAAACAGAGCATGGGAGACACTGCTCAGAAAGTCTTGACACCAGTTGGCCTCTTCTTAGCACACAGCAGAAGCCAGCACCAAAAGGTGAGAAATGAACTATCCCATCCATATTATACCTTTACCTCCCTGCAGAAGACACGGGTTGCATCAAAAAGAGTCAGAAACAGGGCACGACACTGTTGCATGTATCCAGAGAGGCCCAAAAGCATAGGACGACACACACCTAATGCTATTGCACAACTCTCCAAACCCAGATGTTCCACCAAACAAGGCTGTCAATGCTGCCAGACTCCTTGTGGTGGGCACATAAATCGCCAGAAGGAGGTCCTGTCCACTCACAGGCCTGTGAGACGTCTTCACACAGCTAATTGGCAAGCCTCTGTTTGAGCAGGATTTTGCCAGTAAGATGTTGTGTGTTCCAAAAAGCATGCCAGATCCTGCAGTGGGAACAAATTATTTCGTTTTGCTTTTTTCTTCTCAAAAGGGCATTGAGCTGCTCCATCCAAGACTCAGTGTTCTCGGGCAAAGAATGAGTTTTATGTGAGTATAGTGCTACTCAGATTCTGATAGGCTGAACAGCTTAGATGGACTGAAAGGATGCACAAATTATTCACCCTCTGAGCTGAGGTCAGAGCAAGCAGGGATTTTTTTTTGATAAATGACCTTAGAGGTATCTGCCCAGTGGGCTTGAACAGCCGGCTTGACAAGGCCTTCAGCACGAAGGGTAAATCCCACTGAGGGACAGAGGAAACACTATATTCCAAGAGATGGTTACTAAAAACTACGTCTCTTCAAACCACTCATGACAAGAGCTGACACATACACTTTGGATATGTGGGACTGACCAAAAAGTCTGTAACAGAAGCAGGAACAAACTCTAGAGTTCGTGCCTCAATTTCTTTTTTTTCTGAAATTATCTTGGATGGTCACGCAAGCATCGAATGGCCTGTACCATTTATGGGTACGTCCCTAGAATCTCTAGTCTGTTCTTGACATGATACAAGCACTGAGAGGTATTGGGAGCCACCATTAGCTGAGCATGCAGTGCATATCATAGCGCTTATGCAGAATAAGCACAAGCTGCTCCTGTCTGACTCTCTGCATCATCAGTGGGATCAGATGGAAGGAGGGAAAAGCGTAGAACAGGCTTTTAGGAATTAGAGTATGTGAAAATGCATCCACCTCCAATGGAGGATTGTCATTAGCGAGGCCTAACAGGTGAAAAACACTGGGCGTTCAGTCTCTGCACGAACAGCTCACATCATTTCGGCTTTAAAAGGTCTCAGGAAGTCTTCTGTCAGTGGAGGACGAAACATTTCTGACACATTTCAGGTTTGTTTTGGAACATGGCAACGTGGTACACCCAGGATAAAGTGTGGGTGGTAAACAGGCAGGTTGATCTCAGTGGTGCTAATTGTGGGTGTATATATGTGTGTTACACAAATAGATTGGCTACATTAATTGCAAATAAAAAGAAAAACCAGTAACCACATTGACTGCAACTTTTCGTTAAACTCGGTTCTTTAGTTCTTTATTTATTCTTATAGTATTTAAATTAAACATTGCAGAGAAATGGGAAGCTTAAAAAGCCTTTAATCAAGTTATCGTCTGTTTTGAACTAGACAGGCAGAACAATTTTTCATGAATCACAGTGTTAGCAAAACAAGATACCATGGAAATGTAATTTGTATGGGGCCCAGATGTGGCCCCAGGTGAAAAGAATAGTACCGGATTTAATATTTTTAATACTATTAATACTATACTGGGTCACAAGTTGATATTACAAATGCATGAGGTACACCCTGCACTTGTATTACAATTCATTCAAGTGAACCAGATGCATATCACTCCTTGTTTGAGTTCATTTGTGCCCTTGTTTCTGCATTTAAGATAAGATTTAATCGTCCTGCACACAAATTTGTGTAAACACGTTGATAAAATGTTCCCACTGTGCTTAATTTAGCTCATCATCTCTATCATTCACCATCCTGTGTTTTACACAGTTGC